GGGGCGGGGCGGGTGGGAGAGGCTAGTTCTCTGCGGCTTTCTCCGTCTTTCCCGCCATGTCGTTTGTGGAGTCTGGGTGGCGCTCGGTTTCGCGGCGCCGCCGCCCCGGCACGCCTGCCCCTTTCGCCCGCCCGGTGTATTCTTCCGTCGCTCAGGGGAACAGTCGGGGTGAAGGCGAAGTCGACGAAGAGGAGAGATGTGACCAAGTGGCCCGCGACTTGCGGGCGGAGTTCTCCGCTGGGGCGTCCTCGGAGCGCAGAACGGGCTCGCTGATCCCGCCGGACGGCGACGGGTCGCCGGTCCTGCCCGATAAACGCAATGGCTTCTTTCCGGCGGCCGCGGGGAGCCGAGCCCAGGGTCGGCGGTGGCCAGTCCAGGTCCTCTCTATTCTCTGTTCGCTGCTCTTCGCCATCCTTCTGGCCTTCCTCCTCGCCATCGCCTACCTGATCGTTAAAGGTACTGAAGCCGAGGCCTTGAAAGTCTGTCCCGAGTAAGGTTGAGCCGAGACGTGATCGTCTTCCTCAGTCTCCCTTTCCCTCGCCCTCCCGAAAGCGCGCGAGTTGGCAGCCTCTTTCACCCAGATCCTTCATTTGCATCTTTTCTTTGCTCTTCCCCCATTGTCTTTTTTCTAGGTTGGAGGATTCCGAGGCATGATCGGGAGACCCATTTTTAGAAAGGATCTTTTGATTAAATGAGTACTCGAAGAAATATCTTCAAGTCCATGAACATGGGGGGAGGGGGTGAAATATTGGCACTGTTAAACCGAATGCATAAAACACCCACCATTAAAAGGAGATGGTGAAAAGTAAGTGTAATTAAAATAGGCTATGTATGTTCGAAGGCTTTGATCCACAAATAAAGATGTACTCTCCACGGATTCCTCTAGACACTCAGGGCTCCTGAAGGACAGGGACTTACAGCACGTAGCCCAAAATTTCTACTTTTACAGGTAAAATTATTAGTCTCCTTTAGCTTCAAGTTTGTATTCAGTTGTAGTGTACAAAGTTCTATTCTTTATCCAATTTTATTTTTTCTGTTTGAAGTTGAAATATTGGCCAGATGAATTACATGGTTGGCTATTATATATGTCACTGGAAATAATAAGAGGAGTTTAAATCTCACTTCTCACTGGTGTGTGACCTCAGCCAAGTTACTGAAAAAGAAAAAAAAAGAACTTAGTTTGTTGTATGAAAAGCACCCAACATATTGTCACTCAGGTGTTAGCTTTGTACTTCACTAAATAAAATTGAATCTATTTAATTCCAGTTTTTATTTTCCCTCACTGCTTCCCAGCCTTTATTGGGCTGCAGATGGCATCTAACACTTTACAGAAGTGTTGCAGAAGACAGATTGGCAAGTTCTCTCTTCATAAAATGGTATTGGGTGTACACTGTTAATCTTAAGTGGCCGCAAATGTTTCATTTTTCTTTCACTCCCATTCCCCCTTTTTTTCACTGCAACACTGATAGTTTTGTAGGTTAGCGGTTCCCAACTTTTTTGGCATCAGGAAGACAGTTGTTCCATGAATGGGGTTGGGGGGTGGATTCAAGCACGTTACATTTGTTGTGCACTTTATTATTATTACATTGTTTTATATATATATATATATATACACACACAAATATATAAAGTGAAATAATTATACAATCCACTATAATGCAGAATCAATGGGAGCTCTGAGCTTGTTTTCCTGCAACTAGACAGTCCCGTTTGAGGATGATGGGAGACAGTGACACCCAAACTGTTGCTTATGTACAGACTACTCCATAATCTCATTTTGATTGCTGTCGCTGCAGAAAACCCTGTTTAGGATGTTGGAAATGGAAGCAGGCTTTTCATTGCTTATCAGACAGGAGGTGTTGCTCAGGCTGTAATGCCATAGATGGGGAGTGGCTGTCAATACAGATGAAGTTTCACTAGCCCATTCTTCAACCTGCTGTGCTGCGTGGTTCCTAACAGGCCACCGAGGTCCTTGGCCCTCAGGGTTCGTGACCCCTGTTGTAGGTAGTTTATTTCTCTGCCTGGAGACATTGCCTTTGTATCAAAAACTCACAAAACCCATGATGAGTGGAAGTCCATTGTAGAAAACATTGAGCTTAATGAAGAATGCAGAAACTTAAAACAAAATTTGGTATGCCCTTTAAGCTGTATTACATAAAGTGTCTTTATAACAACCCTAAGGAATAAATGTTACTCTCAATTTATCTATGATAAATGGCTGTTAACTCCTACAGAGGTCTTACTTTCCTGTTGAAGGTCACATAGCCAGTAAATTGAAGCAAAATTTGGACCAGTTCTTTCTGACTCTAGAGCACTTTCTGTGGCTCCACAGTGTCTTTCTAGCCCTTGAATTATTTTTCAAATGATAAAATAATCCTACTTTTCTATCTAAGTTCCTCTTTGTATTTACAGAGTTGCATGCTGAGAATTTGAAAAATGAAGATGATATTGACACTGGGCTATTAGGTATGGACTTAATTGTCATTTGATTTGATTTTGAGCTCACTTGTTTTTCCAGATCATGTATCTATGTAAAATTTGGGATAAGATACTTAATATATTCCCATATACAGTTGATTCAGTCTTATGTTTTTCATTTGTGTATGTTTGTAGTAAATATTACTATAGTTCATATATGTGGAATTTGTATATATATACATATATATGTATGTATTGTATATTTGCTATAATTTTTTTTTTTTTTGAGTTGGTGCCTCTGTCACCTAGGCTGGAGTGCAGTGGCACACTCACGGCTACCACAGCCTTGATCTGTTGGGCTTATTTGATCGTTCTGCTTCAACCTTCCAAGTAGCTGGAACCACAGGCATGTGCCACCACACCTGGCTGATTTTTCTGATTTATTGTAGAGACAAGGTCTCACCATGTTGCTCAGGCTGGTCTCAAAGCCCTGAGTTCAGGCAATCCTCTCATCTCCACCTCCCAAAGAGATAGGATTACAGGCATGAGCCACCGCACTTGGCTGTGTGCTATAATTTTTTTATGAGCACACACAGTGTGCATACACACACTGGTTGTACGTTTCGAACACTACTGCATGTGACTCAGATCCAGAGAATACTTAACATCTAATTACCTTCTAGAAGAGGCTTCCCACAACTCTTCTCAGGAATTTAAAAACAAAATTTCTCACTTAACAAAGGTAAATTACATCCTAGACTTCAGGAGAAATATAAGATCAAGTCTCTTTATAAGCAACGTCTTAAAAAAAAAATATATATATATATATGAAGCATTGACCATACTTGTGCAGGGGAATGACTTAGGAGACCTGAGTTTCTACGGAGTTTCTATAGAATGCTGTAGTATACAGGTTTTTCAGTGAAAAAGGTTATTCTGTATTTATGTCTCTTCACCAAAATGATTTTGAAGAATTCAAAACTGTCTGTCTGGCATATTTTACTCTATTTGCTAAAATTTATTTGGTTTGATCACTCTAAATTTGATTAAATGAATCAAAGAATTCATTTTTTGTTTTTTGGGGTTTTTTTTTTTGAGTAGGAATCTTACTCTGTCACCCAGGCTGGAGTGCAGTGCATGGCCACCACAGCTTCCACCTGCTGGGCTCACTCAGGCAGTCCTTCTGCCTCAGCCTTCCAAGTAACTGGAACAAACAATTCATTTGATGTGGTCACTCTAGATAGGTGGTTGAAATACTATCATGCATGTCATCCCCTCCCTCAGTCTTTGCTAAACTCTTTAACCTGCTTCACGGCTAATGCCCTTATAGTGTGTCCGGGTTTGACAGAAGGTGAAACCTGAAACCTTTATCTTTAAATTACAAAGAAGTTCTTGCTATGTATCTCTTGGAAACTTTTGTTTGTGTTCTACTTCTTGCAGACAAAATAAGTACTTTTTAATTACTCGCTTTATCAGTGTACATTGTTACACTGTTTTTATCTCTGGTAAATAGCGATGATTATTAGACTTTTCATAGTATGTATTGATCTGGCATCTCTCGATACAATATAATCAATTTTATGCAATAGGCTTAAACTCTGACCTATTGTTATTTAATAGTTGGTCTGATTTCACTTTTTTTTTTTGAGTTGGAGTCTCACTCTATCGCCCAGACTGGAATGCAGTGGCTGCTCCCGGCCACCTCAGCCTCTACCTGCTGGGCTCCAGTGATCCTTCTGCCTCAGCCTTCCAATTAGCTGGAACTACAGGCGCGTGCTACTATGCCCAGCTAATTTTTGATTTATTGTAGAGATGAGGTCTTGCCAAGTTGCCCAGGTGGGTCTTGAACCCGCGGGCTCAGGCAATCCACTCACCTCAGCCTCCCAGAGTTGCGGGATTACAGGCTGAGCCACCAAGCCCGGCTATGATTTCACATTTTTGGAATAAAACGAGTGGCAGTTGTTACCTGAAGGAATAGCTTGCTTAATATCAAAAGGAATATGATAAGTTTTTGTCATTGCCCTTCTTCCTCTTCCACTTCAAGTTAAATAATCCTGTATTGCCTTTAGGTATACTTGATAGATATTTAATACTGCGACAGCAAATAGAAAGATTACTTTATATATTTATCAATCACATGGATAGAGAATAGCTTTCTCTATTAGATGAGGATTCTGTATCAGAGAGCTGGGCCAATAAGATTAAGCTCTCTTAAAGTTGAAGTGATTGTGGTAACACCTGCCCTTTGTTCTAAACTGGAATTCTCTCCTGTTTGCAAACAAATACAAGATAGCCTCTTTACAGGATGTTTTGAATTGACTGTTGGCCTCTGGCTAAAAGTCCTCCAAGGTAATTGATGGTTGAAAAGATTAGGCCAATTCTCTCAAGCTTGATTTCCATACAAATCAACACTGATTTGATTAATTTAGATATTAAGAAAGATTGACTCATTAGCTTACCCTTGAGGAAATGCCTATGAAATTATATACTTACCTTACTATTGGTAAGAAAGTTTTCACATGAAGAAATAGTGCGGAATCTTTAATGAGAAACTGTTGTTGATCATTCAGTTCAGAGAAAGTGGCATATAACCTTTTATCAGATAATGATGATTTTATTCTGTTTCATTGTATTTATTTTGTCTTGTTTACTAGGAACCTCATAGCCAAATATGTTTGATTGCTTTGAATATTACCTTTTGTTTGTTAGCATAATTAATATTGCTCATACATGCTGTTAATAAACCAGTAACTCATGTTTAAATTTTATTGCAGACTGCCACAATTTTTTGAATGTAAGTAGATTGGTTTGTAGGCAAAAAAATGTGAGCTCAGTAACTATCATGAAAGAGCTCTCTTTCTAGATAGAATGATAAAAAATTTTGTATACTGCAAAATTTTTATTGCAATTTAATGCTAGCTCAGGACTGGCATATTACTCAGTAAGAGCTGTTTATAACTGCAATTCTCATTCTGGTGTGAGTAAGACTCACCTGGGACTTTGTTTTTAAAAAGTACCTATAGATTTTGTTTTAGCCATCATGATTTCATGACATAGAATACTAGGAATGTAGTAAAAATTTCCAAGAGAAAAGATGTGTGGAAGCCATTCTCTTAGACATAAATTGAAAAAAATTCACTGTTTTATCCTTACAGTGAAAATTGACTAAAACCCTGAAATTGAACTTTTTATTCAGTATGTGAATTTTCTAATTTGATCCCACAATCTATTAGGGAAATGATACAGTGCTATCTGCAACTAGATGGGGTGACTCAAATATTTTACATCTAGCTTTATGTAGAAATTCACAAATATGTTATCTTATTCTGCAGCACAGTCTTTGTAAAATTGTAAGTATTATCTATTCATATTATCAAAATGACAATGTCTAAGGCAAAAAAAAGAGAAAGACAAAAGACAAAAAGGATTGGAAGGATACAGCCAAAATATTCGTTTATCTGGGTTTTGGAATGAGTAGTTTGCTTTTAATTTTATTATTTCTGTGTTCTATAATATGTGTGTAACTTGAGACAAGAAAAACTTTAAGAAAAGCACAAATTTAAGTTTAGACAATAGTACATGTCCAACAGTGAACAATAACATTATTGCATTTTTTACACTATGCCAAAAATTTATTTTTTACCTGTTATTTCATCTAATATTCTCAACTATCCTGTGTCAGTGTTATTTTCTTCTGAACAAAAACTTCAGGTATTTTTATGCCATAAAAGTACATAGTCTAAACAGTGTAGCGAGCCAAAAAAAATAGGTTATTAGCAAGAATTATCCATGTGCAGGTAAATTATTAGTTATGAAATCATTATAGATCTCTTCCTAACACATAAAAGCAGTAATAAGAACCAGACATTAGGTTCTCTAAATCTCAAGAAATTGGTTTGTCATTGTGTTGTACTCCCTGCTGTCGTTTTATTCTATGAATTATAAAGGAAATATAAAAACTCTATTGGGCCTAGATGGTTAATAATGATGACTATTTTCCCTATTATACTGAAAATTACAAGCTTCAGAGGAGACTATAGGTTTAACAAGATTGACTGTGAGTTGTTTAAAGCCGAGTAATGGGTATATGGGAGTTCATCTTGCTCTTCTCTTAACTTTTATGTGTTTGAAATTAGCTGTAATAAAGTTTTTTTTATAAATTTTCCATATGACTAATGGTTTACTAGGGTTGAGAACTACAAGTGTTTATTTTTCAAATTCCAGTAGCTTCATCTGTGGAAATATCCTTCCTCAACTGTTCCAGAAGGAAGAGGAATGGAGTTGCTACATGCCAGGTTGCAGGTGGGCAGGCAGTTAGGTGAAGACCTTAACTAACGTAGCTACTATAGCGACTGTGGACCCACTGGGTTCATACTGCACTGGCAGGAGAAGAGACACCACTCTCCTGTGCTCCTGCATTTGTGTCTTGACATGTAGAGACACAGAGCTCTAGGAATTTGAAGGTGAGCTATCTGTAGAATGTGTAGTTTGGAGAGGAGGTCAAATTATTTAAAATACCTATATGTGCGTACATTAGGAAATTATAGAATCTGATAATATTGAGAACATTTGTGGTTACATAAACACGAAAATTGTTGGTTAGCTTTATGTATACATTTAGGCTTTTATTAGTAGCTAGCTGGTAATAGTTTTTACAACTTTTAAAATTATCTAAGTACTGTCATGTGGCACATGACATTTTGGTTAACAGTAGATTGCCTGTAAGATCATGGTTCCATAAGATTGTATAGATCTGGAAAATTCTATTGTCTAGTGATACTGTAGCACATCCTAACTTCATAGCACAATTCATTGCTCGTATGTGATGATGCTGGTGTAAACCAACCTATTGTCCTGCCAGTCATATAAAAGTATAGCATACACATTTATGCACAGTATGCAGTATTTGATAATAAACAACTATGTGACTAGTTTATGTATTAACTATACTTTTTATTATTTCAGAGTGTATTTCTCCTACTTAAAGTTAACTGTAAAACAGCTTCCAACAGGTCCTTCAGTAAATATACCAGAAAAAGGCGTTGTTA